CCGCCCAATGGGGACCCTCTGCGCCCGAGAAACCAGCTTAATTGCCGGATCATATTTTCCAGTACCTACAGAGTACGAACAACCGAAACCACTGCTCACATGGTGAACAACAAACGCTCTCATGACTGCTCGTTCCGGATCACGGCATCCAATTTGCAAACACAAATGGTCAAGTCTTCGGGCGATTCCAAAGGTAATTGGGCTTACCATTGCCTGCGCTTGTTTGTATATTTAATTACCACCGTTGCTTCATTGTTATCGTATGCGTATGGCTGCTTCGATCGATCGTTGCTTCATTGTTATCTTTGTATTCTCCTCTTCCCCCCCCCGCCTCTAAACTGGGTCCCAGAAAGCGGGGGTATAACATGTTCACGTAATAATGTCTGGGGTTCAAAATGTTTCCTCCGGAACATAACCCTGTCTCTTCTGGATTCCGAAATCATCATGACCTGGGTTCATTTTTTTTGGGAATGATAAACTCGGTTTTCGTAATTCGGGACTGAGAAGCAACAGTATTGCCACCCCAACTTCCAAATTCCACATCCGATTTTTATACGTCAGAATCTGGACCTTAGTAGAAAACAAAATAAAGATTCGTATATGTTCCCCGAATATGAACCTGGGGCCCAGTCTGAAAACACGTTCCACACTGACGGAAACGCTGGCCGATAATATTGGGATACTAGAACTTAGATTTATTTTTTCCGGAAAGATAATGACTCGGCCAGGGCAAGGGTAGAGCTCGATCCACTCACAGAGCAATAATGTATCATCTGACGATGATGAACATATTTAGGAACAGCGGTCGTCGAACATCGTTGGTACACCCTGATCAAAACAAAACAATTTGATGATCGGCCTGCGGGGCTCACGTAAAATATTTATGGGAGAATAGGTTTCTTCTTGCCGTGAAGCATTATATAATGGTTGCGACAAAAAACATTTTGCCACTTCCTTCTGTATTATTTTTCATATGAGGTCATAATCGACACATTGCCAAATAATGTGTATTCTTCTGGCCACTCTTGTTCTGGTAACTACTAACTCAAATCGTCTCACGTGGTGTGTCATACCTGTTCAATATTGCACTCCCTCCAACTTCCAAACTTATTTGCGGCCCAGTTGCGTTTTCCTGAACGTTTTGAACCATGCATTTTTTCACGCTTCGCAAATCCCCAACAGCCAACCCATCCCAAAACAATGTCTAACCCAATTGAAACATGATCAAAAAAATGCGGGAATAAACATGGCGATGGCCGAACCGTGTAAAGGAGAAAGGGAGCAAAACAGAACATTTGATGGATGGATGAATGAAAGAATTGGAAAAAGGAGGGTGAATAGGATGAGGAGGAGGAGGCGGAGGCGGAGGAGGAGAATGAAAAGGGATAGGAGGAGGAAGGGCCTTCTGGGCGCTCCTCGGGGCTATCTTGGAGGAGGATGATTGAGCAAAAAGGAACTTGAACTACGAGGCCGAAGTGGAGCCCAAACCCTAACGGTCCGACATCTCGCGGAACCCCTTGTCCAGGTCCAGAGGAAGAAATGGGGAGAGGTCAACCACTTCCGGAAGGGGAAGAAGGAGGGGTGGAAGCCAAATCCCTAAACCGCCGACGACCACAAGGGCTGGCGGGGATTTAACCAATCTCGTGCTGTGTCAAAAAATGCGCAACAAAAAGAAACAGCGATCGACACGCCGGCAAACGATCGAAAGAAAAAAACTGGATTCCGCGCCAAGAAATAGCAAGAGGCAGACGAATACACGTCAAGAGCGTGCCCAAATAAAGGGACGAGAGCGCCAAATGCGCGCAGTGGGGGCTATGAGGGACAGAAAGAATGATGAATGGGTTGTATCTGTCAAAACGCATAAACCATGCAATGCGTGAGTAAATAATCGTCTTCTCTACATCAAAGAAGCCTTGTTGGAGGAACATTTGCGGGTAACGTCCAATCAACTTGCCGAATTAAACGAAAAATAGTAATTGACAACAATTATGCTGTATTTTTTTTTCTGGTCCCCCGTGTGCGCGTTTGCAACACATTGCACATGACATTATCAAATTGAATATGCCGCATGTAGCGCGTGCGTGCTAGGGCTCCGGCCAATCTTGTGAAATAGCTGAAATTGTTGATGCAATCTTTGCGGTGTGTCTGTAACAAGGTAGGTGTAGGGCACCCTCCAGATTTTTTTTGATGCTTTACGAATGAAAAATAGGGAACATATTTTTTTCTGAGGCATTCCGCTTGGATGCTGTCGAATACAAAATGATATAACTAAATATACTTTTGCGTGTATCCAATACGGTCATAAACAATCTAACGTTTTGAATAATAACGATTGCCCCTCTGCACCAAAACGACAACATCAATATTAGGATAACGATCGTTTCCGCGATTGTTCTGGAATTCGCATGATAAGGCGTCGCGTGATTCTTTGTCATGAAATCCGGCTTGTGGAAAACAGAGCTCTCGAATGCGTGTACATGTATATGATACATAAATAGCT